CGTGCGCAGCACCTCGGAGACGTCGACAGCGCCGCTCGCGGGCGGCGCCTCCCACCGCGTGTCCGACCCGCGCGCCTCGGCCAGCGCCTCGGCGGCGAGCGTACCTAGCGGAGACGGAGCAGCGCCGCCTCGCGCGGGCCACCAGCGAGCGAGTATACACGGTCGCTTTGGCGTGACACGTCGCCGATTGGTGGAGCCAAGGGTGGGGTGGGGTGAGCGGCCCGTGCCACCTCCCCGTTGCATCTAGACCCGCGCACCGATGTCGCCGAGCTCCTTGAGCCGAGCGGCGAGCGCTTCTGGCCGCGCGCCGCCGCCGTACTGCGCGCTGCCGCCGTGCTCCTCCGGCGCGGTGTCGGGCCGATGTCGCGCCGCGGCGTGGGCGATGGCGTCGAGGAGGAGCGCCTTGCCGAGCCCGAGCTTGACGGGCCGGCCGCCCGGCGCGAGTTGCAGCGTCGTCAGCGCGACGCACGCCAGCAGCTGCTCCTCTCCTCCCCAAGCCTCATCAAGCAGCCGTCGCATCAGAGCCTCCTTGCCGAGCCGTGCGGGCTCCGCTTCGACGGCGGCGAGACTGCGCGCCAGCGAGGCGTACGCAAACGGCGGCGGCGGCGGCAGCGTGCCCTGCCGGTGTTGACGGCCAGGAGAGGGAGGCGGAGGAGCAGGAGGCGATTCGGGCGGAGGCAGCGGCACCGCGACCGACGCGGCCACGGCTGAGCGGCACGCGCGCGAGGCGACGCGGAGGGGCGGACGCGAGCGCGAGGCGCCGGCGGCGAGGAGGGGCGAGAGCAGGCGGAGCGTGATAGAGGACTGGACGCGCATGCGCATGTCGCGAAAGAAAACCGCGCGCGGAAACAACAAAACAACTTCGCACCAGACAAGCAATCCCACGACAGCGAGTGTGGGGACTACATGATCCGTACGTGAAGGGTGGTGGGCCCGTCCGCAGAAGAGGCGGCGCGGGCACCAATGATGCAGGTGGGGACCCTGTCATGCTCGTCCTGTTTGTTTTGTACATGTATCCACTCACCTCGCTCGGCGCGAGCGGGGTTGAAATTTGGCCTTTCCGAGGTGCGGGCAACCCAGAGGGAAACCAGAGGGTCCCCAGCACTTTGCGTTTCCGGAAGTTTCCAGGGAAACCAGAGGGTGTTTGGTGCTCCATTCTGTTTCTCTCGAGTTTCCCTCGGGAAACTCGCGAGTTTCCCTGAGTCTGAGAGCTGGTCTGGGGCAAAATCTGGGGCAAAATTGAGGAAATCGGCACGATACCCAGGTATTTTCCAGGTATACCGGGGTTTTCCAGGTATACCCGCAAAATACCCGGTGTTTTGCCGATTTTGGCCCCAAAACAGCCTCAGACACGGCTCAGACCAAAATGACGAATTCCACGGAGTTTCCCCGGGGTTTCCCGAGGAAACTAGAGGGTGTTGTAGGGAAACGAGCAGGAAACACGGAAAGGAAACCAGGTAGGGTGCGAGAGGAAACCCTCGGAAAGGCCAAGTTGAAATCGGGTTTCTTTCTCCCCCTTGGACGGCGGGCGCAGATTCTTAAAAATCTGTTCACTCGTCACCAACGGACAATGAACAATGCGCATCGGCCCAGCCCTGCTCGCCGGGCTTGCCGAGGGCGACCCGGCCTCGCTGCGCGCCCTATTCTCCGGGCGTCGGACGCGCGGCAGCAGACTCACGGCCCAGCTCGACGCGCGGCTTGACACCGAGAGGCAGGACACGCTGCTGACCTGGGCCGCTCGTCACGGGCAGGCCGAGGCGGTGCGGCTGCTGCTTCAAGGCGGCGCGAGCGTTGGGGCGGCCGACGGCGACGGCGCCACCGCCCTCTTCCTCGCGTGCGAGGGGGCCTACCCCGAGTGCGCGCGGCTGCTCCTCGAGGCGAGCGCGGCGGTCAACCAAGCCGATGCTGAAGGCTGCACGCCGCTTTACATTGCGTGCCAAGAGGGCCACCTCGAGTGCGTCTGGCTGCTCCTCAAGTTTAACGCGGCGGTCAGTAATGCCGCGGAGGAGGACGGCTGCGCGCCGATGCACATCACGAGCCACAGGGGCCACCTCGAGATATCTCGGCTGCTTCTCGAGGCTGGTGCGGCCGTCAGCCAAGCCACGGAAGGCGGCTTCTCGCCGCTGTGCATCGCATGCCAGGAGGGCCACGTCGGGATCGCCCGGCTGCTTCTTAAAGCCAGTGCAGCGGTCAACCACGCCAAGCAGGATGGCGCCACGCCGCTGTACATGGCTTGCCAGAAGGGCCACGTCGCGTGCGCCCGGCTGCTCCTCGAGGCTGGCGCGGCGGTCGGCCAAGCAACTATCGACGGCTGCACGCCGCTGGTCATCACGTGCCACAGGGGCCACCTCGACGTCGCCAGGCTGCTCCTCAAGGCTGGCGCGGCGGTCAACCAAGCCAAGGACGGTGGCGCCACGCCTCTGTTCATCGCGTGCCAGGAGGACCAGCTCGAGTGCGCCCGGCTGCTTCTCAAGGCCGGCGCGGCGGTCAATCAAGCCAAGCAGAATGGCGCCACGCCGTTGTTCATCGCATGCCAGGAGGGCCGCCTCGAGTGCGCCCGGCTGCTTCTCGAGGCCGGCGCAGCGATGAACCAAGCCCGCAACGACGGCTCCACGCCGCTGTGCATCGCGTGCCAGGAGGGTCACATCGAGTGCGCCAAGCTCCTCTCCTCCTACGGCGCCTCCCGCGCCGCTACGCCCTTCTGCGAGGCGGCGGCGCTCTTCCCCGTGGCGGCTTGCGCGCGGGCGGCGCTCCTCGCCCGCTCGCTCTGCGAGATCCACGAGCGGCACCAGCTCAACTACTACTACTATCGCAGCGGTCAACTTCAGCGCTCGCGTCTTGGGCTTCGCCGTCACAGGCGAGACGGTATAGGGAGCAGTCCACCTCGCTGGGCACTGTCGTTGGATAGCCCCTGTCTCTCCATTGCATCTTGACTGATCTAGTCCGTGTGTGACCTCCTCCCTCCCCTTTACCGTT